ATAGATAGATAGATAGATAGATAGATAGATAGATAGATAGAGAGATAGATAGATAGATTTATAGCATCTGCTTTAAAGCAAAGCATTGGCCTCTATTAGAGGCTCTGTCTGTATTCTTAGACATCAATTATATGTATGTATTTATAATGTGTATTTGTATGTGTAATATGGATTTGAAACATTTGCTTCACTAAATGTATTCTAATGGGATGCATAAAAAAAAAATCAACTTCTTGGATGAATATAAAATGTTATTCATAATGAAGCAATACATTTTAAAGCAATTCTTTTTCTCTTAAACGAGAATGTTTACAGAGCACTTTCTTTCTGCGCCTCTTGAAAATCTACATGTGCAGTAAAAACTCTAAAACCCTGAGTTATCTTTACAAATTAATTAAAAGCAGTTGGTTTCTATTTTTTAATACAGATCTTTGTAACAGTTTTGTACAATATATTATACGTTAATAATATTTTTTATTGATGGTGCAAAGGATTCCTATGCAACATCTAAAAATAATTTCTGTATTTATAAGGAGCCAAGATGTCGTCCCACTGTATATAATAGTAAACCAGCCACTGTTATGAAGTTCAACTGTTATTTTGACACACGGATGATGTTTTTAAAGAATTTTCATTTTAAACAGCTTCTGTACTTTATCAAAGTGATTCATGGGGGGGGGGGGGGGGGGGGGGGGGGGGGCATGCATCTTTAGATATTATCAATATAAAGTATTTTTACTAACCTTTTACTCCTTCGTGGCCTCCTCTTTTTGTTCTTTAGTAAAAACTTTCACAATGAAGAGTGTTGCCAGAGAAGTGGTGCATTCACTTTTTTAGGTTAAACAATGGAGGCTGAATTTTTCCTCTCCAGCTAATTCCTTCTACATAAAATTCTACATTCTCCTTATTTTAGGAAATTTGTAAATTTAACTAAAGGTTTATTGCAAGTTTATTTAGATAATTAAACTTATAGTAATATTTAGTAATAATCACCTTTAAACAATTACATTAAACAATTTTAAGTAGTTCAAGCATGATTTCTTACCCTTTTTTTATATTGC